GACATTCTCATTATATATACTGTATGTACCTGGCTATGTGAAAGCTAGGTAACTATTGGAAGAATTGATAATAGTTACTTATTAATTCTCTTGAACACCTACTATGTTACAGAATTTTGCTGGAAAACATAATTTCTGCCCTCTGAGTGAGATGATGAAAAACGTAAAATTTAATAATGCTACAAGCTTTAAACAACAATAATATGACCCTAACGTTTATCTTTAGTGGATGAGGCAAGTAAATCATGTTATATTCATCAATGCAATTTATGCAACCTTTAAAAAGAGGAAGCCTTTTACATACTGATAAGGATATCCAAATTAAGTCATTCACTACCAAAAAGTGAAGTATAACATAGTACATGAATACTGGCTAAAACATGCATACTTTATCTCTGGAAAAATACACAGGAAACTTAATAGTGGTTGCCTCTGGGCAGGGAAGAAGCATTTTTCACTACGTTCTTCTTTTTATCTTTAGAATTATATATCATGTAATATACTACCTATACATTTATATAAATTAAACCAAAAAGGCACAAGAGAGATTCAGAGAAAGTAAAGATTATTCTGTGCCGGCCAGGTGCGGTGGCTCACCCCTGTAATCCTAGCATTCTGGGAGGCCAAGGTGGGCAGATCACTCAAGGTCAGGAGTTCGAAACCACCCCGAGCAAGAGCGAGACCCCGTCTCTACTAAAAATAGAAAGAAATTAATTGGCCAACTGATATATATAGAAAAACTTAGCCGGGCATGGTGGTGCATGCCTGTAGTCCCAGCTACTCGGGAGGCTGAGGGAGAAGGATTGCTTGAGCCCAGGAATTTGAGGTTGCTGTGAGCTAGGCTGACGCCACGGCACTCACTCTTGCCTGGGCAACAAAGGGAGGCTCTGTCTCAAAAAATAAATAAATAATAAAATAAAAAATTTTAAAAAATATTATTCTGTGCTGGAATCTTTAGAGAATTCTCCATGAAGCAGGTAAAAGAAGGAGAATCATTTGAATGGGTAAGCAGGAATGGAGAAGATGGAGGTGGGCTCATTCCATTCTGAAAAGATAGGAAACAGGATATTGCATGAGCCTTGACGAGTCAAATCTTCTGGTTAGAGTTAGAAGCATCCTAAAAATGATGAGGAATTAAATTTCAAAAGTAAAATTGTGATTGGTTTGTAGAGTATCTTGAAGATCCAGAAAAATCACAGCCAGCTATCCAAAGTTTCTCAACTGGGAAGTGATAACTAAGAAATATATATGTGGCAGCTTGCCACATTAAGAGTATTTTGAAGACAAGTATACTGGTTCTCTGCTTACACTCTGCCCTGGATTTCTCTAGGCATAACTTTAGCATAAGGAGTGGAAGACATTACAAAGAGAGACTGAATGAAGGATTGGTCTCTAATTAGAAACGGAAAAGATAAAAAAGAAAAAAAAACATCAAAGATGATCTTTAGCTTTTTAGTCTGGGAGAGAAAAAAAGTTTGGTTTTAAATATGCTGATGTCTAGTAGTGATGAATCAATAAACAATCCAAACTACAACTGGAAGAATATAGAGATTGGAATTACAAAGTTGATATATTAGTGTCCTGGGGCTGCCCACAATGACTGCGTGGCTTAAAACAACAGAAATTTATTCTTCCACAATTTTGAAGGCCAGAAGTCTGAATCAAGGTGTTGGCAGGACCATGCTCCTTCTGAAAGCATTAGGGGCGGAAATCTTCCTTTATCTCTTCAAGCTTCTGGTGGCTCTTGTCATTCCTGGGCTGTGGCATAAGGTCAATCTCAGACTTCATCTTCACATGACCATCTTACCTCTATGTCTCTATGCCTATGTGTCTCCTCTTCTTATAAGGATACCAGTCACTGGATTTGGGCCCAACTTAGATTGAAGATGATATCATCTCATCTATAGATTCTTAACTTGATTACATCTGTAAAAACTCTAGTTCTAAATAAGGTCACAATCACAGGTCTTGTAGGGTTAGGACTAGGACATATCTTTCGGGGTAGGAGGATATTATTCAAACCACTACAGCTAAGAACCATCAGTCCACAAACTCAAAAAATGATAGATGTCTTCTCTGAAAAAGTGCAGTAAATGTAAGCTAAGACCAGCGATTCAGTACCTTCAAGTTTAGAAAAAAATTAGTGGCAAGAAAAAAAAAAATAGAAGGGAGTTGAGATACAAAAAGAGTAACAAGACCAAGGAGAGAAAAATCAAGATTAAGGGGTGATTAGTCACATCCAATATGGCCAAGAAGTTAAGGAAATAAGTGCTGAGATGCCTAGGAAGGTATGCATTCACAAATATGCACGCATGCACGCGAGCGGGAACAAACACACAGTTTAATCATTAAGAATTTTTGTAATGAATAAATTAAAAAATGCTTCTTCAGTTTCTCTAGGGAAAAACAAATAATTCTGGATCCTACTGAACAATACATCAAAGAACTAACCAGATGTCCAGATCAAAAGAAAAAATAATTAGAAAATTGTATAAAGATGTGTAGTTTGCCAAAGGCAACATACTCTTAAAAAAGGATTACTTAACACAGGGGCACCGACTGGTCATAGAGCAGAGGGTGAGAAATCAAAAGAAATAGCTTTGGTGAGGTCACTGGTAGCACAGACCAGAATTTTAAGAAACACTATTAGAAAGACAACATAGACCTCTTGGGGATCCAAGCACAGAGGAAGTTTACTGGAAAAGATTGGATGGGGACAGCTGGTCTAAAGAATTGTGAGCAGAGGCTAAGATTAATTTCTACATTAAAAAAAGAGACAGACTTTGGGAGCTACTTGAGAGCATAATAATTACATTCTTATGATGTATTTTTATGATAATTAAACATATGAAACAATCCTGAAAATGCCACTTTTGACTATGAAGATATGTAAAGAGGCTACAGGCACAAAATGAAGTCTTAGGGACTCTGACTTGGTCCCTGCTCACCTTACTTAGTTTCAATCTATTTCTTGCTCATGTCACATTCCAACAACTCTGAACAGGGTTCTTTTGCCTGACTAATGCTCTCCCCTACACAGTTTAAGACTGAACTTAATCACCTCTCCTGTGATGCTTCAGCCAACTACCAAGCAGTTACCCTGGAAAACTTTGTAAGTGATTTTGTCATGTAAAAAAATAACTATCCTCCTGACTGGTAAGATGAGATTTTATAGCACAAACATTTGACATGAAAATCTTTTTTTTTTTTTTTGAGACAGAGACTCGCTTTGTTGCCCAGGCTAGAGTGAGTGCCGTGGCGTCAACCTAGCTCACAGCAACCTCAAACCCCTGGGCTCAAGTGATCCTTCTGCCTCAGCCTCCCAAGGAGCTGGGACTACAGGCATGTGCCACCATGCCCGGCTAATTTTTTTCTATGTATTTTTAGTTGTCCACCTAATTTCTTCCTATTTTTATTTTTTTTTTATTTTTTTTTTTCCTTTTAAAATTAAATGGGTCTGTGGAATCTTCCTATTTTTAGTAGAGATGGGATGTTGATCTTGCTCAGGCTGGTTTCAAACTCCTGACCTCGAGCGATCCACCTGCCTCGGCCTCCCAGAGTGCTAGGATTACAGGCATGACACCCGGCCACATGAAAATCTGAACAACAAGAAGACAGCTTAATAGATGATTTTCCAAATAACTACTGAGGTTAATAAAGTATTTTAAAAAGTCATTTCTATATAGCACTTGAGTTGCTATTTACTTTCTAAAGACACACAATTGTTTATAAATTATATTTAAAAATTATTATTAACTTTTTTTAAAGTTTAAGAAGCACGGAAATGCTTATTATGTATTTGAGAAGAGTAAATTTACTTAAGCATTGAATTCACTAAGTTTCCAAGGTGAGGGAAATCCTTCAACTAGATATAGAAACACTACCAGTTTCTCAAATATTTCAAAATAAAATTGGCTCTTAAAGTTAGAACATTCTGCCTGGTTACAAGAAACAAGATATATGGTCTCATGTTCAATCATATTTACCTAAAAATTCATTTATATTTCACATAAATAAAGCAGGGAATATACAGATTGTTTAATCTTGAGAAGTAGTTTGCAAATGGATCTCCACAAAATGGCATATTTAGGAAAAATTTGGGATTAAAGGTGAGTAATAAGAAATTCTGATGAAAAGGTACACCTAAGAACAGTGCTTTGAAGATAGGAGTATATAAAGTTAACTGTAACATATTCTATTAAAAAAAGGCTAATTTTATTTTCTCATTATAGAGTATATATGGACCAAGAAGAAACCAGGATTTCTCCTGGAGAATCTCAGAGTCAGGTCAAGAAGATACATATAGTTAGAAACCCATGAACACAACACAAAGATTGTTTTTTTTTGGTTTTTTTTTTAATTAGTCAAAAATAAGCACTGTATTTTCATTTCTACTATATGTATCAAGAAAGCGTTGGGTCTTAGTAAACCAAAACATTAGGTTTATGGATAATTTATTTAGTTGAATATGAAAACTATTTAAAATTGACATTTATTCTTTACTACATTATGGAACTGTACATATATAGAGGACCTATTCCCAGCACCAATCTTATTAGTAACTATTCGTCTTATTACATATTAGTAACTGTAAGAAATTACTCTCTCTTTGTTACTAGGACTACTTTTAGTATCCTATGTGGAAAAGACAAGTGAGAGGAAAAATAGATGGTTCCCTGCCTCATCCAGAAAATACAGTCAGAGAATGAAGAAGACTGAGCATCTGGGAGCACAATAGGGTGACTATAGTTAACAATTATTGTATCTTTTAAAAATAACTAAAAGAGTGGAATTGGAATGTTCCTAACACACAAGAGTGATAAATGCTTGAGGTGACGGATATCCCAATTACCCTGACTTGATCATCTCGCCTTGCATGCCTATATCGGAACATCACAGGCACCCCATAAATACATACAACTATTAGGCATGCATCCATAATAACTAAAAATGAAATAAAATTTAAATGACAAAACACAAAAAGAAACAAAACTACGCACCTTATCTGTTTCTTCCACGCTCATGGATTTCACTACGCAAGAGGCTGGCCTTTCCTGGATGTGTGCCAGGTCCTGGGGTACGCTCTGGGACGCTGGCATTGGAGGCAACGGAGCCCGCCTCTTCTTGGGTGCATCCGACGGCAGGGTGTTTGAAACATACGGTTTAGAAACGGTATTGGACCTCACAAAAGTCGGGCGGTGCTTATTTATTAGAGGGGTTGCAGGGGCACTTGCAGTCTAATAAAAAATTAAAGGCAAAATCTATATGTAATTTCAAGATAAAAAGCACTTATAATGTAAACAGAAAAGATTCGAAGAATCTTATTAAAAAAAATGTTAAATGCTTACTTGCTCTCGCCTTTTCTTACTGCGTTGAAAAAAGCTGAAAAACCCTTTATTTTCTTTCTCCTTCATAATGTCTAGGTTTGGAGATATTTGGCAGGACTCTAAAACAGAAGAAAAACATCTTACTTTTATACCTGAATGTTAACTTCCAAGATTTACTCCTCTTACTTTCCCCCTTTAAAAACTTATCTAACGATAGAAGCTGCTAGTTATAGTCTATGAGCCAGGCACTCTGCTAAGGACCTTATATCCTATTACATTCTTAAAGCTGGTTCTTAAATATGGTTCCTATTTCACAGCAGAGGAAACTGAAGCTTAAAGAAACTAAGATCAGGGCCCCAGTAATGAGGAAATGACAAAGATAGGACATATACTCAATTCTTTGAGTCAGAGTCCGTGTTCTGTACATAATAAACGACATTTCAGAAGTAAAAAGTACACTTCAAATTAAATGAGATATGATGTTGCTATCATACACTTTGTCCCTTTGATGATGATTCTGTCTGATAGCTAAAGTACCACGAAATATTTCATTCTCCAAAACACGTCATTATAATTACTTAGTACATTGTTAAATGTTTCATAGTTGTTACTTCTTTATTCTGGCGGGTCTTAGTTGGGGGCAAATTTTGCCCTCTAAAGGACATCTGATAATTTCTGGAGATAATGTTGGCTGTCACAACCGGGAATGGGCTTGGGAGAATGTGCTAACTGCATTTACTGGGTAGAGGGCAATGATGACATTAAACACAGTGCAATACACAAGGTAGCCGCCAACAATAAGGAATTATCTGATCTCAAATGTTAACAGAGGAAAATCTAAGAAACCCTACTTTAATTAGAAAGGTGAATGTCAAACCTCAGGGTTGCATACATAATATTCCTTTAAAATTTTTCCAAAAGGTATTTCTTGGCATCAATTAAAAGGGGCTACAAACAATGACAAATCTAGTACTACTGAGCCACCCTGGCCCACACTGTCTCTAAATTCCATTTCCCAATTAAAAGGAACCATGATTGTTTGACAATGGTTGATCGTTTGTTAATATCAAGGAATGTATAATTATGAGCTTAGAATAGTCACAGAAAGCAAGCTATCAAAGTCTACCAGGATCATGTTAAAAGGACTCAGGAAGCTGAGATGGTTTCCATTGGCAAAAATCAGGACAATTTTGGCATCATAAGAGTAACTAATTGAAACATGTCACATTTGCTCAATTCTATGCATTCATAATGATACAACAAAAATGATTCATCCTTATTGTCAACCTTTGTGTAATGGTAGATAACTAGTCCATTATTTTAAAAACAGAGGAAGGAAAAGAATCAAATTTTTAGCCTACCTTTTCTGACTGAATTTTACCTTCACAAATGGCTGACATAGGAAAGTTTGCTGTTTTAGAAATATCTGAGCTAATAATTAAAGAAATGTTTGCAATAGACTATCACCATTTCTCAACTCCTAATTAAGATACAGGCAATGATCATCAGAGAAATAACTTGTCATCATGTGTTTGCTAATGGAAGTACAAAATACCACCTATGAAGTATTCTTGCCCAAAGTGTCTCACCAAAATCTTATCAAATTTCTAGATTTAACAATTTATAGGAAATGGGGACAAAGAAATGTCAAGTGACACAATAGAATGTAATCAGCAAAATTTTCAATGTGGGAAACTCTGTAAGACAAATGACCTGGTTGCTTCAACTAAGGAATAGAAAATTTTAAAAATTAATTTATAATGACAAGGAATGGAAATATATAAAATTCAAACAAAATTTCTTATATAAGAAACATATGGATTTTATGTAAATCCATATAATTCGTAGAATTTCAATGACATGTAAAACAAAGTACTGTGTATTGAAATTTGTGAGATATAGCTAAACCAGAACTTAGGGGTAAATGTACAGTCTTAAATACTTTAAGCTAAATGTTTAAAATTAAAATGAAATAAATTATGACACAAAAGGGGCTACTCCAGGAAAACAAAGCCACTTAACATCAATAAACATATTAATGCAATATGCCTCAATAACATATTAAAGGCAAATTATGTTTTAATAATTAAAACTTTTATATCTGATGATTCAAATATTAAACAAGCAGCATGCATTCTGCACAATGAGCTTGACAATGCTAACAACTAATGTTAACAAACATGTGGATAATGCTTTATAGTTAAACATTGTTTCATGTGCCTAATTTATTTCTTAGAACAACCCTGTGAGAGTGGTATCATAAAGTTAACACTCTGAGCCTTTTTTTCTCATTGGAGGATGTTAGCATTGACCCTGCCAGAAGTAAGAAATGAAAGCAGTGGTATCACACCATCACACATCTGAGGAACTAAGTGACCAGAGAGTTTGAATAACGTGCATGAAGGCATTAAATGACAGAACTAAAACTAATGTCCATTTAAAGATGATTTATGATATCTGTAATTTTTTTTCTAGAAGTGCCACTTTTTCATTTTAAGATAGAATTCACTACATATTGGCTGTAGATATACAATGAAATTTCATTACAACAGTAGATGGAAAATTCACATAGCCACACAATAAATATAACCAGAATGTTGCATACAGTTATTTTGGGTAAGGCGATTTCCAGGCACCTGCTCATCCTCCATACTAGCTATTGTGTAAGTCTTCACGTAAAGCTCTATGTCAGAGATCACGGCAAATCAGAGTTCAACACTAAGACAAGCAAAGGCTCGAGCTTACCGAGAAAAGCAACTCAAAGACTAGTTTCCTGTTTCTAGAAGAGAGGCTAAGAGTAGTTGCATCCAAAGTTCTAAGCCTTCTGATAATATCAGACAAAATAAGGAGGCAAGGGCATTTATGGCATTTGGATTGACCTTGTAGATCCTGACACTGTAAACGAGATTTCTTAATTTTATTCTTCCAGTTTCTTATGGTTCTTCCACATTTAATACCCTAATAAACCACATATTTATGTGATTATAAGGAATATTAAAAATCTATACATTTGATACCCTCAAAATGAAGCCTAAAAGATTATGAAATTTTCTTAGGGTTATATATGTAGAGAACTGCAAAGTCAGTAGCAAGAGCCAAGTAAAGTAACAAAATGTTGATGGTGTAAAGAACTACAGATAACACTTTTTTTCCAATTGTTATTATTATTGTTATAGCAGTGGAAGGTTGAGATCCAGACAGATAAAGCTATTTCCTCTATCAGCTTGCTAAATTAGCTTGATAACTAACATAGTGTCAAAATTTCAAAATGTATTTTCTCATTCTGAGGCAGTATACATTTTAAGATCATAAGAATTTTCAGCACCTTTGATTAAGCTAGTCTTCATGATATGTACCAGCAAAAAATAATCACACTATTACTTATGTGGGCTCAATTCTTAGAATTGAGAGGATCAGTGTGCTTTGGGAAAACTGTGATAAAGACAGAAAATTCCAGTAACACATAATGTGTACAGTGTAAGGTTCTCTCTCTCTCTTTTTTTTTTTGGTATGGTGGTAATTATTGCAGTAATCAATTATTTGAGCCTATCTTTTTTTAATAGGAGAAAAAAGACTTCCAGAGTTTATTATTATGGGAAAATTTTAATAAAGTTTTTTCTCTATGAAAATAATACATGCCTATTCTAAAATTCTGTAATATAAAGAAAAGAAATATGAAAAAAGTAACCTACAATAACCCTACCACCCAAAGTTAACCACTATTAAAATTATGTATTTCCTTTCAGAAATTTCATGTAAAACTATATTTTACATATTGTATTAAACACATTCATATCATTTAAAAGTTAATTTTAGCACAAGCATCTTCCATGTTATTACAAAATATTCACAATTTAATGGCTGCAAAATTTCATATGATGAACATATTTTTATTATTCAGAATTATGTTCAGTGGAAATAACCAAAGATCCTTCCATGGTAGCATCAAAAATCATTAGTATTTGTACCCAACAAAGATCCTAGCAAAATCATTTTTTCTTGTGTGAGAGTAAGGAATATGCTTTCTCACACCATTAGAATGGTATCATTTTTAAACATTTATTGAAATGAAATTATTGTAATTAAATTCAGAAATTAAGGGGGAGGGGGATCTATACTTATATTTTTTAGGAAATAAAAACCAAAGATTTTCTAAGTTAAAATCTTTTTAGAATGTACATGTTAGTAATGTTAAGAAAACAGGTAAAATTAGAAGCTTATTTTCAATTTACCCAATTTCATGTTATAATCTGTTTCTATTGATTCATGTCTTACCTTGTAAAGTTGACTTATTGAAGGCAGTAACAGAAGTGGCTACAGAAGGAGGGGGTATAAAAGAGGGTAAATTGACTGTAAAAATGATGTTTATTTAAGTATAAAACATCACTGAGTTGAAAAAGTAATCTATAGATTACATAAAGCCACAACCTCAGGATAGAGTTTGAGGTTCTCTTTGCATATAGTATGTAAATAATTGCCTCCTTCATTAAACATTTATTTCTCCTAGATTTATGGTGAATAAAGTTGGCATGTGTCTATTAGACATCATACATATGGACAGATATATGATGTCCAAATTTTAATATATTACATAACTTCAATAGATTAAAACTGGAAGCTATTTCAAAAATTTTTGGAATTAGATTGATTTGTTTTATAAGCCAGCTTATTTTGAATGCTAACCTTAGGAAAAAAATTGGCAAGAAATTTCCAGATTTGAATAATTAAGACTCACATAAAACCATAGTGAGTACACACTTTCTAGCAAGTCCTGCAGAGAAAAAAAAATAAAGTGAAAATATTAAATTTAAAAAAATAAAAAAATAAAACCATAGTGAGTCTACAGTAGTTCACACTTAATTAGAATAATGAATTTTCACGTAAATTTTTATTTTCTGTTTAAGTCTCAAATCCACAAAGAATTGAGTTAAATTCTTGCTAAACAAAATTCATAGGTAGATAGAAAAATATAAAATGTGGACGACAGCTGAAAAAGTTTTTCATTCCTATTTCAATAATGGAATATAAAGCAAGTTAAATATAAAATTTATTTACATTTAGTTTTCTCTTTTTTTCTGAGAGAGAGACTCTGTTGCCCGGGCTAGAGTGCCATGGCGTCAGCCTAGCTCATAGCAGTCTCAAACTCCTGGGCTCAAGCAATCCTTCTGTCTCAGCCTCCCGAGTCGCTGGGACTACAAGCATGCGCCACCACCCATGGCTAATTTTTTCTATATATATTTTTAGTTGGCCAATTAATTTCTTTCTATTTTTAGTAGAAATGGGGTCCCGCTCTTGTTTAGGCTGGTTTCGAACTCCTGACCTTGAGCAATCCGCCCGCCTCGGCCTCCCAGAGAGCTAGGATTACAGGCGTGAGCAGCCACGCCCGCCAGTTTTCTCTTCTTATTCCTGAAGATGTGAAATTAAACTTATAGGATCCATTAACTTGCCACTATGAACTTGAGAACACCTAAATACAAACATGATGCATACACATACACACATATATACATCTTGTTAAATGAATAAAACAAAATCCTTATTTACCTCTGCTGACATCCATGGCATATAATTCTCTTAATCCCAGGTCATTAAGAGATTTTGTCAAGTCCAGAGGCTCCTGAGATTGATACTCTTTTAACAACAGTGTATGTAATGGATCAAACTCACATTTGCTACATATAATAGGAATAAGTTCTTCAAGTGATGCATGTGGACTAACTCTCACTATGGTCTTCTGTGTTTTCTTAAAATTGATCACTACTCTCACAGTTTTCTGAAACATAGAATAAAGCCATAGTTATATCATTATTTATTGAAACAAACTTTATACAATAGTGTCTAGAATGAGATAATCTATAGTTGCATATTCATACAATAAACAGTACTTTTCTATTTTGATGTAAAATTTTCCTTTTTGATTAACATTTTCTAAATCCAAAGCGAAATCTTAGAAATTATCATTAGCTTGTCTATTAAGTCTGGATTAAAGTCATAACCCCCGTATAGTAAAATATTAAATAGATTTATACCTAAAAAGAAAATAGCCTCATATCTAGTACTACTGATATTTTTACTTTGTTCCTTAATATACTTACATTAAAATTAGCTAATATACATAATACAAAATTATATACATTTTATCCTATCATTCGAGGAATATTTATCTTTTAAATGATTTGTCTTTTGTCTTAATGAAAAAGGGGTATTTTGGTTAAATCATGGACATTTTTCTCTGTTGGAAACATGATGAATGAGATAACCCATATAAAGAGCTTAGCACAGTGTCCGGCACATAGTCAATTATCAATAAATAAACATTAGCTATTGTGATTAGCTTTTGTTGTTACTATTACTACTTTGGCTAATTTTAATAATTTAGGAGATATTAAAATCTCCCTTGTTTATATATCTAATGGTAATAATTCACAATTACTGGAAAGATTTTAAGCATCTCATTATTTTGATGTAATTGAATTAAATTCCATATATATAGAATTAAATGAGTTAAATTCTATATATAATGGACTTAGCAACATGTGACCATACTAAGTGAAATGTACAGTTTGCAGAACTTCAAAGACATTTATTCATAAAACTAAAACCCCATGAATAATCCTATCAATAGGCATAACTTCTTCCATCTAGATAAATATGGATAAACACAATTTTTCACTGCACAAAATATATCAATTTTTTGTATATTAAATTGATAGTTCATTTACATATGAACTGAATACATATAGGCTTGTATTTTCTTCATATTGTTATGAAGCTTTTTATAAAAAATTTGACAAATTTTTAGACAGAAAGCAGCCCAATATCCTATTTAATACTTCATATTCAATTGCATAGTATAGAAAGCAAATGTTTTAATATCATTAAAAAACTTGTCAACTTTTTTATAAAAAGCTTCATAACAATATGAAAATACAAGCCTATATGTATTCAATTCATATGTAAATGAACTATCATTTCATATACAAAAAAATGATATATTTTGTGCAGTGAAAAATGGTTGATGCTCATAATGAAGAGTATTTCTTGAAACCAATAAACATTTATTCCATTACTTATAGCAACAGAATTTTGTAGATAAGAACTAATGATATTAGAATCACTGTGGTTAAAAATTTTAGCTTAAAATTCATAAAGAAAACAATTATTGTATAGCAAAAATTAACAGCTTAGATATAAGTTACAACTGCTGCTTACCAAGTATAGAAAAGCCAAAAAATTATTTTAATAATTAGATGAATTTTCATTAAGATGCTAAAACCTTCCTTTAAATATAAAATACTTTTATAAAAAGTAGCCTAACATACAAATCATTCATAATTGTCAGATTCTTATACAATCATATTGGTCACTTTGAGTACTTAAAATCTAAAGTATTCCCCAAATTCTAGTTAATCCAAGGATCACTAACCAACAATCCTAAACAAAGTGGCCTAGGAAAATATGATAGCCATGTTCACATCAAATTTGAAAAGTCTATTTTTATTTCATTTATAATGAACTACCAATAATGACTGAAAAATCAGTTTAATGTTTTAGTTACAAGACATCAAAATCTATAATGGAATTCTTACCTCTGGTATTATAGGTGTAGGTTTTTTCTTATCCAAAATTTTTGGCTTTAAAATCACCTTTTCTACCTCCAACATTCCTATTGGTGTATTTGGCTTAAATTTAATGTGGTTCTTTTCGGCTGACAGCAGATCAATTGTGTAACTTGATGGATTTAAGTGATATTGTGCACAGAGGAATATCAATAAGTCCATCATAGGTTTACTGCAAAACAAGAGTAATATTGATCATAAAGGTCCATGAAACAATACCATTAACTGTTAAAGTCATTGTTTTGAGGATTCTTTTTAGAATGCTGTTACCTTCACAATTGAAAAAGCAAGGCTACAAATAGTATTTGTGAAAGCAGCTTAAAATTCTAACTACAGTACTATCTGGATGATGGGCACACTTATGACATTGACTCAAACTGTGCAAAAGCAATATATGTAACCAAAACGTTTATACCCCCATAATATTCTGAAAAACAAAATAAAATATAAAGATAAATTTAAAAAAATCTAAAAAATATTTCAGCAGACAAAAAATGTAATCACTAAAAAGTCCTGGGTAGTATTCAAGAGAGCTTTGGATCCTACTATTGGTCCAAAAATTACCTGTATATTTTTATTTGACATGTTGTTTTCACATTATAAATTTCAAGAGGAGGAATTCTTTCCTTACCTAAGAGCAGTCATTTAGTTTAGCAGATGCTCCTTTGCAATATTATTTAGACTACAGTACTGGTAGCCTTTAGCTTATGGATTGGTTATATTCCCACAAAATCCTAAAGCCCACAAAATTGTGAAGAGTGTAGTACAGATTTCTTAAATCAAAGATTATTTAATATTTTCTAGGTACCAGAGTCACAGTACAAGTATTATGGTGGTGTACCTGTTCTCTCAGATCCAAAACTCTGTTAGATAGAATAGATCGAGTGTCAGCAAATTACATCCTGCAGATCAAACTTGGCCCACAGACTGTTTTTGTAAATAAAGTTTTGTTGGAACATAGTCATGTCCATTTGTTTACACAGTATGTCTCAGGATGCTTTTGTGTTACAATGGCAAACTGAAGTAGTTGTGACTGAGATTGTATGCCTGTCCTTAAGATACATTCCATATGTCTTTATTAGATGCTTGCACAATAATATTTAGGAGTTTTACATCCTTCTCTTGAGCTACACATTATACCCATATGTAATTTGCCTATAATCATCCACATTTTGTCTTTGGACAGTACCATTTTAAATTTCACCCAGACTGGCATAATGGTCTTACGGAAGTTTATTTTTTGGTAATATAGTACTCTATGAGAGCAATTTGATGTCACATACCAAATTTGAGATTTGGAAATGGTACTTACTTTTGATAGTAAATAAAGTTAAGAAGGATTAGGTAATGTCTAGTTAAATAAAATATAATTATAAATGCAGTTAAGCTGGAAGAGGAGAGAACTTTCAATGCCAACCAAATGGATAGCTGTCTGCTGTTTTCTATGAGTAAATATGTGAAGATTATATTTCTATTTCTCTATAAACGTGTCAATAAATATGAAAACATTAACGTTTATACTTCAAACATCTTTTATTTCTTAAATGTATAGATCTTTAGAATCTGCCAGAATCACACAATAAGACAAAAATATTTATTAAAGTTTTATTTTGTTTTTTAATCCCTATTTTTGTACCACTATTTTTTTTTTATGTACAAACATTTAAGGAAAAACGTATTTTCCATTTTTAAAGGTAAGAACAATTTAATACTCCATGTAGCCTTTAGATATGCCTTTCTGGTATATCTGTGATATATTAATTTTCTAATTTAACAAATGGGATGAATAATTGGTTAAGAATATTAACATAATGGCCTATTGCCTCAGTCATTTTGGATATCTAAAAACCTTATAAATTATACCAGATTTTATACCAAAAAGATTACATGCTAACTAGAGTTAATGTCATGACTTTTTTTTTTTTCTGAGACAGAGTCTCACTTTGTTGCCTGGGCTAGAGTGCTGTGGCGTTAGCCTAACTTACAGCAACCTCAAACTCCTGGGCTTAAGCAATCTTTCTGCCTCAGCCTCCCGAGTAGCTGAGACTACAGGCATGCACCACCATACTTGGCTAATTTTTTCTATGTATTTTTAGTTGGCCAATTAATTTCTTTCTGTTTTTAGTAGAGACGGGGTCTCCCTCTTGCTCAGACTGCTTTTGAACTCCTGACCTTAAGTGATCCTCCTGCCTTGGCCTCCCATAGAGCTAGGATTACAGGCCTGAGCCACCGCTCTCAGCCTACGTCATGATTTTTGAACTCAATGCAGCCTAAATGTTCTCTAATAAAAATGCTTCTTTGAAAGGCAACTGAAAACCAGGGGACTTCTTTATGACTTTATCCTCTAATTCTATAACTTCAAGTTCAATTCTTTATTTGATAATTTCAAAAGCCAATTTGGTCTTAAAAAATATTCCTACTCCCAAACAGATAATTGCAACAGATCAGAGAATTCTGCAATAGACACAAATACATATGCAAATTTAATACTACATGATAGTGGTATTTCAAATTTCTGGAGAAAGAATTGAATTTTCAATAAATAGTACTGGAAAAACTAATGCAAAAGAAAAGTTGTGTACCTAACCTGAGTCCTTACACTAAATTAGGTTCCAGGTGGACCAGATATATAAGGTTATAACTCTGAGTAGAAAAGGGAAAAAGCCACTAAAACAGAAATCCATTTTTATATGGTTTATGTTCTAGAGTAATACATCCAATAGAACTTTTTGCAATGACGGAAATGTTGTATACCTGTGCTGTTCAATATAGTGGCCATTGAACTAATGAACTAAAGAACTGAATTTTTAATTTCATTTAACTTGAATTTAAATTCAATTTAAATAGATAAATGTGGTGAGTGGCTACCATACTGGACAGAGTAATTCTAGCATGTCGGTTCTCAAAGAGTGATGCATGGACCAACAGTATCACCATCTGCTGGGAACTTGTCAACTGTCAAGCCCTGGACAATTGAATCAGAAATGCTGAGGGTGAGGAACAGCAATCTGTGCTTCAACAGGCACTCCAGCCCATTCTGATGAATGCTGTAGTCTGTGAAATCCTGATCTAGAGAGAAGGGAATACAGAAACAAGCAAAATATATAGAATATCAGATAGTGATAAATGCTATGATAAAAAATAAGGAAAGAGGCCAGGCTCACGCCTGTAATCCTAGCACTCTGGGAGGCTGAGGCGGGCTGATCGCTCAAGGTCAGCAGTTTGAAACCAGCCTGAGCAAGAGCGAGACCCGTGTCTACTAAAAAAATAGAAAGAAATTAATTGGCCAACTAAAAATATATAGAAAAAATTAGCCGGGCATGGTGGCACATGCCTTTAGTCCTGGCTACTTGGGAGGCTGAGGCAGGAGGATCGTTTGAGCCCAGGAGTTTGAGGCTGCTATGAGCTAAGCTGACACCACGGCACTTTAGCCCGGGCAACAGAGTGAGACTCTGCCTCAAAAATAAATAAATAAATAAATAAATAAATAATAAGGAAAGGGTTAGGGAATGTCCTAAATGAAAATGACATTAGAATAAATAGGAGACCTGAAGGGAATGAGATATCTGGGGAAAGAGCATACCAGGCAGAGTACAAGTACAAAGGCCCTGAAGCGGGAGCATGTTCTACCTGTTTAAGAAAAAAACAAACTAGTCCACTACTATGAAAACAGTAGGCAAGAAAACAGAGTAATAGTTTTGTAGTACTTAAAAGACTTTCAAAAGAAACAAAGGTGGCTCACACCTGTAATCCTATCATTCTGGGAGGCCGAGATAGGAGGATCATTTGAGCTCAGGAGTTTGAGACCAGCCTGAGCAAGAGCAAGATCCTGTCTATATTAAAAGTAGAAATTAACTGACAACCAAAAATACATAGAAAAATTAGCTGGGCATGGTGATGCATGCCTGTAGCCCCAGCTACTCAAGATGCTGAGGCAGAAGGATCGCTTGAGCCCAGGAGTTTGAAGTTGCTGTGAGCTAGGCTGATGCCATGACACTCACTCTTGCCTGGGCAACAGAGTGAGACTCCGTCTCAAAAAAGAAAGAAAAAGATAAAGAGTTTTTACTGAGATATTAATAGAAAGCCACTCAAGAGTTCTAAGGAATGTTGTGATCTACTTTACATTTTAAAAGGATTATGTTCTGACTACTGTATTCAACATAGCCTGGGGGACCAGTTACAAGTCTGTTGCAAAATTTAGGTGGGAGATGGTGGTGACTCGGATTAATCAGATTCCAGATACATTTTGTATAGAGCTGATAGGATTAAAGCCAATTCAGGAAAAAGACACAAGAGAGAGAAAGGGAGCTAGCCAGTGAAAGGGGGCCAGGATTACATGGACACTAAACAGTGCCAGGGTTGCTGGGAGGACCCAACAGGAGGCTTAAAACGCAAATTTAAATGACTTCTTACATGATGTGTTTACCAACCTCTCTCTGGTGACTCACAAACCCTAAGGTCCTGGTAGCTTTGGGAGGAATCGAATCAAGAAAAGAAGGAAATTTCAAAAGGTAGAAACTGAAAAATAATAATCTAGAGCTCGTAAGTTATAGTCAGAGTCAGAACTAGCCCAAGAACATAAAACTCTTGGGAATTTACAACAATAAGATTACTAAGAGGATTGAACTTTCCACAGAAAGTAGAATAGGGGTTCTGGCCCCTGTTATCTAGATCTTTAGGAGTACAGTGACCTCAAGATGTTATCTGGGTTCCACTTATACCTAGATGTGAACTTCTCTCTAACAGGAGCACGTTTTAGTAGTCTTAATTCCCAGGACCTCATACAATGTCATGCACATAGTGAAGTCAATGTTACTGAATGAGGAATTCTGCTTTAATGCCAATGAGCTCAAACATACAGCAGACAGCATATGACAATATACAACTAAGATCTCTGCATGGCACCTGACACCTGAGAAAGCATAGCTGTTTAAAGGAGATTCATGTGCTTTAAGGAGAGAAAAAAAAACAAACATTTTCTGAAAGCTGTGTTGGTTTTTTTAATTAACAAACTTGTTATATCTAAAGGCATGCCATCTTTACCCAAAGGTGGGACATATGTACAGGGATAAGACTTCTTCCAAAAACAGCCTTAGACCAGTTTGAATAACTTTAAGTATTTAATTGAAGCCTCAGTATTAAAACACAGAAGAGATGACCCTGACCAGAAGA